CCCCAAAACCCCAAAACCCCAAAACCCCATGAATAAGATATAGCTAGAAATTTTGAGTTTAAAAAAAGATTAGAAAATAAAAATTTCAGGAACTGATTAATATTCTTAAATTTAATTATAAAAATAATTGTAATAGCAATAGCAGCAACATCATATGTCTTTAACAAGAATTAGAACAAAATCGGCGACCCTTTTTAATGTTCAGGATATACCTGAAGAGCGGTCCTTTCTTCCTGCAGCCACAAAAGAGGAATAAAATCATGATGATCCCTACTAGCACTGACATTCAAGAGGCTAGAATAGAACTTAGATGGGAACACTAGATTAAGGTAGCAGTCACGTTAATTTAAACATTAGTAATAATGGCAATGTGCTAAAACTTAATAGATTTCCTTTGAATACACCTTTATAATAACTGCCTACTCTTCAATCCCTTTCGAATAGCATAGCTTAATCTCCCAGCAGGGTTGCTCAACCAATAAAAAGGAAGATAAATAAACTTAAGCAGTAAATAAGAGGAAATGATGATATTAAGAGTGTAATGGAATCGAAAAAGTCTCTGATTGATAAATATTATCCTACACCAAGCATGATGCGTGGAGATAACGCCTATGATAACTCAGCATAAACAAGTCAAATCCATTCGAAGTCTAGCATGACTCGAGTTAATCCAAAAGTTCGCAAGATTTTAGTTAATTAGCAAAACCCTTATTCTAGGTCGGGGCAGAGTGAATAATAAAGTCAGAGCTACTCAATGATGAATACCCCAGGAAAGCGATCCTAATTAAATTCAAACTCCAAAAGAAGAATTTTAACAAGCAAGACTCTCATTAAAAATATCAACACCAACGGGAATACTACAAATAATGACACTTCATTAGATCTATCAACCATTCGAAGGTAAAACTAATAAAATGGAGATAACCTTTCTCTGACCCGTGAAAATATTAATTCGACTTTAAATGTTAACAGCTAATACTAAGGCAACAATCGATTGTCCTTCAGCTTTAATAAGTCGCCTCAAAATAATTTACTTAGACAGAAAAAAATAAGGATACAGTCCAAGAATATAGTAGGCATTAATTCATCAATGCAGATTTTAACAACTTAGAAGTAAAATGAGAAGATTGCTATGATAAAGAATTAGTCCTAGAGGCAGAGATATAAGAAATTGCTCCAAGAATTCAACTACCAAAGAGATCTCATTATATAGGATTATCAAAATTCCAAAATAATAGTTTGTGAGGTAAGGCATCTTCTTTTTCTTTAAAAACTTTTATAGTTCTTGAATAATCATATGAGTACTGATGCGTAAGTATAACAAGTCAAGAATAGTGAATAAATTATGCAAAAAATAGTGACATTTATCATACTAGGACAGTATGATTAAGAAAAGGATATTGATCTCTCTCAACCCATAAGTTTGATAGTTGAAAATATGATATTGAAGATAATGGATCAGAATCCAATGGAAATCATTGAACTTGACAGATACAGGGAAACTCCAAAATTATTGCTAAATAACTAGGCTGCAAAATACATTTAGATGAATCCTAAGTATCATAGAAAAGTTGCTTCATTTCAAATTTAGTCTTTTAACCAAAACGATGTTGGATAGAATAATGCAACTCCAAACAGCTATTCTAACTAACTAAGCAATCATTCCCAGTCACCACACAATTCTTACTCATATACAAATATGTATCGTAATTTGGCCTCTAACTTCAAGCACACCACTGGAGGTGAGGTCGATCATTAGAAAAGATTTCAAATTCTTAAAAATTACATTAATCGGTAATAATCCCTGAATAGCTAAATGAAAAATTTCAATAAAAAAACTATACATTTAACTCACCACTAGGATGTTATAGGTGGTAAATCTAAGTTCAAGAAAAGTAGAGATATATTGCAGGGTCATGGACAAAACTAGGGCTAGATTTAGGGCTAAAATAGATCACACTTTAAAAATAGAAGCAATGTAAATGTTCTTAGCAAAGTACTTAGCAATGACAGTGAGAGAAATAATGAAAATAAAGGGGGAACTCTCTTCGATCATACTGCTTTTGATTAAACCATATAGATTAATAGAACATTTGAAAGCACGATGAAGGCACCTAGCTAAGACAATAATCTTTTGAAGCTTACTATGGTGCCTGATGCAAGCGTCATGAGACTTATTAATAGATAGGAGTCCCCTAATATACTGAGATAGACTCCAAGCAGGGATAAGCTTTTAAAAGATGCTGAACTCATGAAAAATTAGATCCTGATTGAAAGCATTATTAGAGACAGGGATAGATAAGTAATTGAACCAAGGACTGGGGAAAGAAAAGTATTTTATAACCACTTTAACATTTGAGTATCTTTAAATGAATAGAGATCATAATAATATTCAAATATTTATTCACTTAATTTCTTAAAATAAGGAATTCACTTATAATCCACTGATGGGGTTTTGGGGTTTTGGGGTTTTGGGGG